GTTTGTAATTAGTTATCAATTCTTATCAGGAACACAATTGATTAAATAAATACCTTTTATGGTTTTCATCAATTGCACACTTTATATTGCAATCAAATGTCTTAATATTATTCTTAATTCACTAACTGTTAATGACTGACTGACTCACTAAAATTATAAAATGGTTTAATAAACAGCTATTTACTATTATTTTCTTTAATAGATAAGTGAAAAATGTCAAGTTATATAAGTTAACGAACATTTAAAGTTAATATATTTAGGTGTGTTCCCATTATTTCTATGATATGATAAGAAAGTCTCTCACCTAAACAACTTTACTTGTGACAAATCTTAAGATAAATCAAATCTTATTAAATTACAAGTAGTGATTGTTTGCTAATTAAGTTATATAAGAATTTATATTATTACAAATATTGATTGTGTTTGTTAGTGCACAATGTATACGGCGATTAAAATATTCAAGATCTCAATTTTGCTTTTAATAATAGCAAATTTAGTAATGGCAGTTCCTGGTAATTAAAAGTGTTTATTAATATTACTCTTAATTGTTAATTTGACAAAATTGTATATAANTGTTTATTAATATTACTCTTAATTGTTAATTTGACAAAATTGTATATAAATCAGTGCAAAGGGGCAATAACTTGAGAAAATACTGGAGAACGGCCCGATCAGACCCTTACCCAAAACCATTGAGAGCACTGCATAATCCAAATCTATTTAGTGGTGACATTTTCCATCATAGACGATTTCAAGCAAGTTACTAAATGTAATTGAGTTTTAATTAATATATTTATTATAATTTCTAAATCAGAACAGAAATGCCGTTCCCTACAGTTCCTGGCTATGGCCTAACGCTGAGATTCCTTATTACATCGACCCTTCACTCGGTAATCAATTTAATTATTAATTTAATTATTAACACACATAATAAAAACGTTGCCCTAATTATAATAAACTTACAGATAAACACAGCAAGCTAATATTTGAGGCAATGGATCAGTTCAAACAACACACGTGTATTAAATTTCGTGAGAGAAATGTGAATGACAAACATTATATCAGGATATTTAAAGGCTTCGGGTATTCATTGAATAATTGATTTACAAAATTAATGAATTGCAACTAATTTGACATTGAATTTCCAAACTTAGATGTTATGCAACCATTGGCAAGGATGACGACAATCCCGAAATGGTGTCTTTGGGTGAGGGCTGCTATTTCCCCGGCACTGTCGTCCACGAACTCATGCATACCGTCGGTTAGAAAACTTTTAAAGAAATATTACTTTTGACAAAAGTTTTTCAAAACAATCTCTTTATGTTAACATTGATAAATATAATAAATACATTTAAAGGTTTCTACCATGAACAAAATCGTTCGGATCGCGATGAGTAAGTAGTGATTATAAAATATAAATTAATGCTAAGCCGTGTTAATTGAAATATGATGTCAATTACAGCTATCTATCAATTAATTGGCAAAATATCGACGCCTCGTATAGCGAAGAGTTCAAGAAATTAAGACCGGATGAGAACCAAATACTGACACCATTTGACTACAACTCTGTGATGCTTTACGGACCCCTTTCCT